ATAATAAACAATGAAAATTGACATATTATAAAATTTAAATTACGGAAATCAGGAAGCGACTCAAAGAAATAACTGGAAATTACACGGAATTTCTTATGATAAATTTGGTAAACATACATAAAACTTGAAATAAAAATTTGAATAGGAATAAAGCATGTGTTTATTATATTAATTCCCTTAAAACATCAGCGCACTATCAAACATCTTATCGTAAAATTACTATTTTCTTAAGTTAAAAATAATCGTCTCTACATGTATAGAATAAGCACTTTTAACTAAATTATCAAATTGTTATTATTGTTTTCATAAATGTTACGCTCCGGACAAAAACTGCACTCTGCCAGTTCATTTTGAAATCACACATCGCCTATGATAGAGAGTTGAGTTTGACTTAACCATACACGCAAGTCTAAGAATATGGCGTGCTTATAAAAATCACGTATTTGTAGTGTCTAAGTATAATACATTTTATATATACATTTAATCAGAGAAAACAAGAAAGTCTATTCGTGAGGGAGCTCGTATAATTTTATAATGAAATACATAAATCTTCTACTATAAAATATTTACAACATACGATTTTACTCCGATTAAACATTTGTTGTTTTTTTTTCAAAGTTTCTTATATTTATAGAAGGTAAAACTAAAGTGACAAAATATTTACGCATAACTTACTTATTTATGGAAAATATCATCGACAAAGTTTATTTCCTTTTGTGAAACAACAAGATCAGTTTTTGGAATTTTCTATCAAAGTTAATTTAAATGACTATCTGTTTTAGTTGGGTGTGGTACTTGAAACGTAAACTTTAGCAAATGGCATATAATACATAAATTCTTCCAAACAGTCCCTAATCTGCAAAGGTAGTTTCATAAGGACGTGCTTTAAGTAAATGTCAAAATCATTTTTACTACAAAGTATAAAGTTTGAATTTTTATTGCAAAATATTTGAGTATTATAATAAACATCTTGGCTTCTAACCCTAAAAGACCTTTTAAAGGAAAGAGAGTTCTAGAAAAGAATGTTCAGTAAATAATTTATTTTTTGCAGAATCATAACATGGTAGTCGTTTGATTAATGCATGCGAGATAGATATTAAGAATTCATGTTCAAGACTTTGATGGACCTGCGCGCTACTTAAGCTGATTAGATCTCCTTCTTTAGTACGAAAATTCCGAAAGTATTTAGTTATTCATGAGAAATAAAGTTTGAAATACGAGAATGATTCCCCCCCCCCCCATAAAATGACACTGATGGAATTTTATCACAAAATATTTGAAACTAATAACTGTAAAATATTTTATCTTTCTGAAATTTTTAAAGTCTAAAATTTAAATATAAAAGAACAATTTATTCCAACAACGTATTCGTTTTTTACTTATTTTTATTTTATTTAATATATATAAACTCACTAATGAAACGTAAACATTTTTTAAATGATATAACAAATAAAATGTTCTGATGCTCATACTTTCATTTAAATTCATACCGTGGAGAAGTTACTGATAATATAATAATTTATTCAGAATTTGATCACAACATTCAATATGTCTTGAGAAAACCTTCAACTTATCTCTCATGTCAAGAAAGGAGTTGAAAGTTTTGTCAATAGCTACTGAACTGGGAATTTCAGTATGTTTTCAATGAAGTTGTTTTTGTTAAACAGTCTAATTCAAAACAGTAAAAGTTAGACATAAGCACACATTGTATATATATATGGATTATAAATTGGCAATAAAGGATACAGATAACAGAATAAGATATTAAATTATCATTCTGTATTACATATGGTCAATGAAGATCTCATATATTTCAAATGACAATAATGTTTCTAGTAATTATAAATGGGTACAATAATATCCATTTAGTATTTCTACAGCAACCAATGTGTTCAGCAAACATTCTATACCTTCCAAAGCTTCATTTCGTCATTAAAGTATCGTATTTCCACTGTTCACTAATGATTCTTTAAAATCACACAGCTTTACAACCATGAATATTTTCTTAATATTACAGTTTTATTTTCTGAAAATAATTTATGTTATTTACTACTCTATAATATTTGCTGTGAAAGCTACTGTTTCAACCAATTATCAAGGTTTCCTATAACATCAGATATACTCACTGCTTACTAACGCTTCTACATAGCATTTAGTATTTCCAGTAACAACATATTTCCATACCATATGCTTCTACATAGCATTTAGTATTTCCAGTAACAACATATTTCCATAACAATCAATATTTCTATAGTAAATTATATCTAATTGAAAAGCCAGTGTTGCAGACAATTTCTTTTTTCTGCGATCATATGTGTTCTAATAACATACAGTTCTTATGACAATATTTAGTACATTTTAAAATGACCGTGAGTAAACAAACTAGTTAAAGCTAATAACTGAAATACGATTTTGATACAATTATTATATTGCATTGCCTCGTGTATGCTCTTCTAGTTCACTGAATAGACGGAGTTATATTTAACGAAACATGATATACAATAAATCAGGGCTGGATTATGAATAATTCTGTTTGACATTATCATAAAACTAAGTGTTTTATGTCGTGGAGTCTGAAATAAACGGTAAACAACGTTAGTTGAAGGATTACAGAACGCCGTTGATTTTATAGTCTACACATTTTGTGTCACCTTCTACAGCATAAGAGGGAAGATTAACTAAGTAGTTTCAACACGTTATATGTTTTTAGAACGTTTATTTATTGTCAAACAAATGTTTTTGCTCTGTAGTAAACAACTCGGAAGCGTTCAGGCTGAAGTTTGGTGTTACGGTTGTTCTACAATAAATCCTGGTCAAATGTTGTCGCAAAGCGCTTTATTGTTGGTGTAACAATAACAGTTGTCCGTTCCCTTCGATGTAATAATAACAGTGGTCCATTCACGGCCTTTATCAGTGACCACACGGTGTTATTTGTTCTCTTCGTGTGCATCATAGCCATGCGTAGTAATAAAGATTAATTTAATGAGTCATGAACATGTGAACATTCTATGGGGAAAAGCAAAGAAGTGAAAGAAAGCAATTCTGAACTGAAAATGTCTGTTCCCCTGCTTTACTTCACTATTCGCTAAGTTTTATTAAAATCGATTACATGAGGAGTTTTAAGTTAAGCTATTTAACTCAGTGAACAGAGTTTCCTTAACTTTAGCTAATAACTCTTGATGTAAACCAATTTTAGTAGCTCATAATATAGCATGTTTACTTAATTTGGTTTGGTCGTAGTTAAGCACAAAGCTACACAATGGGCTATCTGTGCTCTGTCCACCACGGGTATCGAAATCTGGTTTTTAGCGTTGTAAGTCCGCAGATATATCGCTGAGCCACTGAGGGGCGATTTATTTAAAGAATTACTTTGTGGACTTCCTAGTTATACATGTGTTAAGTTATAGACTTACACATGTGCATTTTGGTGGGTATTTGATGCGTTCAGTTGTTCAGCTATATTGTAGCCTGTGGTATATAATATATTTAGTCAGGGGGTTGCATTACAGGGTCTAGTGAAATGTTAATATGATCAATTAAACAGTTTCTTGTAACCTTTGGTGAGTATTTAACGTGTTCTGGTATTTACATTACAAAGTAGACTTTTGTTGAGTATTTATTGTGCATATATATAAAATTAGCGAATATTTAATGTGCTGATTTATAAGGTCACATTGTAAACTTTGGTATTTATTTTGTTTCTATATAAAATTTACACTGTACATTTTTATTCACAAAGCTACAGCCAAAAGGATAAGTAACTAAATCATTAGCGAGTATTTATTGTGCATATATATAAAATTAGCGAGTATTTAATGTGCTGATTTATAAGGTCACATTGTAAAGTTTGGTATTTATTTTGTTTCTATATAAAATTTACACTGTACATTTTTATTCACAAAGCTACAGCCAAAAGGATAAGTAACTAAAACATTAGCGAGTATTTATTGTGTTGATTTATAGGGTGACATTGGTGAATATTTATTGTGTTTCTTTGTATAGTTAAAATGCAGCTTTTTTTGGTGAATATGTTTATGTCTTGAGTTAAATAATGACCAATGTGTTTTTCAGTAGACTTAGGCTTTTGATGACACAAATACTTTTATGCATTTTTTAATTAGCTTAAATGTTAGAGTTAAAATAATCACTAACATGTTTTTATATATCGTAATATCTTTCAGTAATATGTGCGCTGCCCTAAGTAAATAAGTTTCCACATAGCAACAGGGATAAAATGATTGCAAACTTCTGTCTTCATAAACATAAAATAACGACCAGCAAATATAAATGGCTTCAAATGATCTTAATCAAACGAATGCACGAAGTAGTCTGATTTTTTGACATCGCATGGAGTCGAGCTCGAACCCAGAACCTCTCAAACAAGTGATCTTTAAAATGAGCTAAACGGTTAATCCATTGGCTACTGCTAGTAAGGCTTTCTTAATAACTGAAACTACTATATGCGTGTTATCATGGGAAGAATTTATCTATTAAAATCTAGTTTTTTTAAATATTATAGATGCACTATAGGTAATAGCTGAAGTAACAGTATGTCAACATGAGAACGATTGACGCGAGTTCTTTTTTTCTAATTAAATTATATTGTATCACATTAATGGTTCAGTTAACACTAGGTTACAAGAAGTGTATAGGTAGATCTAATTCTAACTAAAGGCCCTTTGGTTCTTTCATCTGGAATGACATCTTATGTGACACATAGGCAAAGTGGCCGCGGCAGAGATCCCTAAGATTGAGGTTTAGCCATCCTAAATTTAGAAATGCTGATTAGCTGGAAGGAAACCAGTCGGCAACACCGCTGCCTATAATAAAGTTACTTTCAACGCATATTGTGGCTCAAACCCTGGATTCGTAGCTTCAAGCGTTAGCCACTAGGCTACGCCCAACTCACACAAGAAACACACATTCGTGAATGAAAATAGTGCCTTACTGAAGGCAAACAATACGTTTTTCCAGAAATTATTAGGATAGAGAAAACTCACCTTAAACAAACGTAAAATGTTTGCTACCATCACTGACACTGAGCTGGAAGCTGCTCCAATAACTCCAGCGACAGGCTTTTGGGGGTTGCGTATTGGCTTCCGCCCATCTTCGCATCTGTATTGGGAGTCGTCCAGAGTGGTCAAAGATGCCTTTACAAACTCCATACTCTGCTCTAGCGCGTGGGTATCACGAGAACAAGTGTCAAGTATAAATGTTCCTAAAGTAATATTAGGTAGAAGACTTGGATCTCGGTTGATTTGATCCAAAGCGTAAAGCATGGCTTCCAATCGTTGAATTCCTTTCTCTTCTTTAATGGCTCCACAAGGTTTACCATTTTCTCCTACTGCTTCATGCATAGGGAACAACCCTCCTAAAACCAAGTCACCGTTTAGTCTCACCTGTTTGGATCGAGAATCACACGTTATCATGCCAGCCCGAAAAATTAAAAACAAAACCAGAATGTTTATATTGCGTTCTTTGCAGGAATACATTCTTGTTCTCGATTCACTTTGCCTGTATAAATCGGTAAGGATTTGGTGTGGTAGATTGTTCCATTTTCTCGGAGAAGAATAATGTAGACATCTTTGATTCACTTTGCCTGTATAAATCGGTAAGGATTTGGTTTGGTAGATTGTTCCATTTTCTCGGAGAATAATAATGTAGATATTTTTGATTCACTTTGCCTGTATAAATCGGTAAGGATTTGGTTTGGTAGATTGTTCCATTTTCTCGGAGAATAATAATGTAGATATCTTTGATTTACTTTGCCTGTATAAATCGGTAAGGATTTGGTGTGGTAGATTGTTCCATTTTCTCGGAGAATAATAATGTAGATATCTTTGATGAAATTACCTACGCCATGAGTAATCTTTCAGTGAGGAATATATATTTTTAATTTCATATAACAAGCATTTCAAAAAAGAGTACATGAAGATAATAGGAACACCCAGAACTCTATAGGAAGTGAGGAACAATACAATTCTGGCAAGCGCAAGGTGCAGTACCACTTGTAAGCAAACGCTACAGACGGGAAACTTAATAACACTCGATCTCGCGCCACTCTTCTGAAGGATTTAGCTCGACATCGCTTGCGCATGCTCTGTATAACCTGCGTGAACAAACAGTGGAGAATCGAAACTGTTACTCCTGACTTCATAGGATAAGAGTTAATGAAAATCATTATTCATTAAAGATGGAGGTAGCTTGAAAAATGTGAACTACGAGCACGTATACACAGGAAGCCTTTTATTTGTTTTACCTTTCGTTGACGTTCTTAACAGACGTAATTTTAAACTATATATTAACTGTTTAGATAAATCAATGTGGTGTTAAATTAAGAGGTGTCACATGAGTCCTGCTTTGCTGATAGAGAAGACTCAACAGTTCAAGCTACCTTGTAAATTTCGCTCACCTGTTGGGTAAATAGAGTGTTTGCAGTACAAGTAAGTGCAAACAATATACACTTTACCGTAAACAAAATTTTCTTAAAGTTGACTGATGTAAAACAACATGAAATATAACGAAGTATTACATTCAAATCTCTGGGTTTGTCATCTAGCGTACAAAAGCTAGGTTACATGTTTCTAAGGTGTGACTAAGTTGGTATTTTAATCTTCTAGGTTTTGTAAGAAGGTTAAAGTTTTGTTACGTGTGAGTTCATTTGTACATGTGACTCGTGTACTATAATTACCATGGTATGTGTGTGATGAAAGAAGCTGTACCATCGAGAGAGGTATAATTTATAGGATTTAAATGTGATTGAAAGTGCCCTCTAGATACTATGAATAATTATAATGATACAGGTATACAGGTTTAGTTAGTGTGTTTGTTTGTTGAGAAAGTTTGCATAAAGCTATACAAGGACTATCAACGAATAGCTGTTCCTAATTTTGAACTGATAGATTAGAAAGAAGCCAGCTAGTTTAGAGCACTTGGGATACTATTGTTTGACCGTTACTCTTGTAACGCACCCACGGCCCTAAATTGCGAAGCGTGTTCCTGTAGCAACGGGGCGCAAGCTATGAACCCTCTGATTCACATGTCAGACACTTAAAGTGTCAGATGAAGTGATTTTGCAGTGTTTCAGAATATATCACAAAATCACTTAATTTATTTCACTAAACTTTAAACTCAAAGTGTTTAGAGCCCTTCTCTCGCTTTTGATATTTGCTATAATTCAAAAGATGCATTGACTAATGGTAAATATAAACACTGAAAAGGATTTGAGCACATTAAAATGGCATAAGTAGGCAATGGTATGAAAAGCCTATGCAACGATGGCAACGTTGTTTGTAACGGGTGATAAATTTTAAATTAATCTAAGAAACAAAATTTTTGTTTAATCAAAAACAATAAACCCATATGATTTTGTTACTATTATTATTATTATCTGAAAATGTGATTTCATTTACTTTTCAGGGAAGCCATAATGTCCCAGATTATCATTTTGGTTTGAGTTATCTGCTGAGTACATGACTATAACAATTAGCATTATTTACTGTGAATTCATTTGTATAAAATCGTGGTATAGTGTGAAAGATGAAAGCAATTATGAAAATAAATATTTTATTACAGGAACTTTCGTTTTATGGTATATTTTATCTCACTGCTAACTGCTGAAGATTGATTTTTCTGCAATCCTCAATGTCCATGCAGTAAAATGTATTTCTTTTCCTCACCGTTGACATTTGTTTCATTCAATTACAATAAAGTATGCCATTTAGTTGTTATATTTTGTTTGTTGAAACAGTCTTTCCTTACGAGTTTATCAATAAAGTGGTAAAAACTTTATATTGAAAAATGTGATTTAATCTTAGCCTCATTTTATGTTGCAATGTGCAAACAGCGTGGGAGCTAGTTTTTCATAAATATTATGATGAAAATATATCCAACGAATGAAAAGTGTAGGTTTTGGCAAACGAATAAAGTAGTTTGCAATCTCTTCCCCGAAAAGTCTTGAGAAAGATAAAGCAACGAATGAAAATAGGAGCATTTTTCAACATCGTGAGCGAAGCCTAAAATATCCTTAATCATTGCTGAATATCTCACTAGAAAGAGGTATTGGAGGAATAATAACAGCCGGTGACATGAACCACCTAAAGAATATCACTTCTGCTAGTATTTGCCATTTTTTCCCCCGTAAAAGAGTTCCTGAAAACTGACCCTTCTAAGCAGAATGAAGAAATTAATTGCATGAAAATATTCGTTTCTTTTCAGAAACAATATCACAATATTTTGCGACGTTTCGTGAACACATTTATTGTTACATAAAAACGACTTAAGCATTAATTGTTACACGTTGTTGCTATATAAGTAAGAAATCCAACTGCATATATTTTCGCAACGCTGTAATGGAAATGTTGTGGCTGTATCGTAGATACTTTTTTACGTAGAACACTTTAGAAGATTACTTTGTGGTAGAAACTGTAACATGCAAGTGAAAAAGTTGTGCAGTTTAATGATATAGGTTTTTAACTGCACTTACAATGTTAACCATACAATAACGAATAAAAAACCAGCTATGTACAGGCTATGTAAAATTAACGTATAAATTATACAGCCATGGTTCACACATTAAATTCATATCGAGTAGTAGAAATCTCCAATGAGAGAACAAAAACTTTATGAATATCCTCACATTTATTGTCTTTTGTAGCCCCTGTAATTATAAGATAATTTATAACAGTCCTTGTCTCCTTGTTTATCATTTTGTTATTCTTGAGGTATCACATGTATTAAATTATTAAATCCTTATATAGAGTCAAAAGTAAATTTTATTACAAATGCTTAGGGAGAAATGTTACCTTATCTTCTTGTGTGGAACATATGGACGGCTTTTACTACTAACCTTTGCCATAAAATGCGATGTATTGTGACAGGTGAAAATCCACAAACACAGGTTAGTAGTAAAAGCCATAAAATGCGATGTATTGTGACAGGTGAAAATCCACAAACACAATTTTACTATTAACCTTT